GCACTGCTGCCTCACAGCACCAGGGGATCCGGATTTGATTCCACCCTCGGGCAACTGTCTGTGTGGAGTTTGTACGTTCTCCCCATGTCTGCGTGGGTTTCCTCCCACAGTCCAAAGATGTGCAGGTTAGGTGGATTGGCCATGCTAAATTGCCCGTAGTGTTCAGGGATATGTAGATTAGGGGGGTTATAAGTGATGAGGCTGGGTGGGATGCTGTGAGGTTCGGTGTGGACTTGTTGGGCCAAAGGGCCTGTTTCCACAATGTAGGGATTCTATGAACATATGAAATACAAGTTTATCATCTGTTGTATGTAATTTAGAACAACATCATGGTATAAGCAACCAGCAATAAAGCAGTAGAGGTGCAAACTGTTTAAATGTTAGATACAAGCATCAGAATAGTCAATATTATAATAATGCAAAACAGCATCACTATAGGATTGGCATCTAATATTCTGCAAAATAAGTTACAAAATTATTTCAATCCAATGCAGAGTGGATACCTATATGGCGAGCGATGTAGTGGCCCAAAAATATAAGGTTTTTATTCGCATTATTCTTCAGTTTGAATTATTTGTGGCTAATATTAATACATGAGGAGCTAAACACCCCAGTCCTTTATCAGACAGTTTAAAACTTACTTACCATGCTCATCAAGATTTGTTAGCCATTTAATGTTGACAAAGGAACAGCAATCCTTTATTAAATATATTTTCTTGTTTGGACATGTCTTCAGCTCAAATTATCAGGACTAACCTGAGGATTATGAACAACTAACAACAGTAAGCTGCTTGGCCCTTTGAGCCTGCTTAACCATTCAATAAGATCATGGCTGATCTGATTTTAACCTCAACTCTACATCCCTGCATATCCCAATGACCTTTCATTCCAATGGTATTCAAGAATCTATCTACCCTTGGTTTAAAAATATTTAAAGATTCTGCATCCACTATTCTTTGTGCAAAAGTACTCCAAAGACTCTCAATCCTCTGAGGAAAAAAAAGGGCCTCATCTGTTTTAAATGGGTGCTGCTTTAGTTTTAAACTACAACCCATAGTTTTAGATTTTCCCACAACAGGAAACATCCTTTCCACAGCCAACTTGTCAAGTCTCCTCAGGATTTTATATGTTTCATCTCTGACTCTTCTAATTTCCAGAGGATATAGGCCTATTTTGTCTAGCCTGTTCTCACAAGGCAATCTCCTCATTCCAGCCACTAGTCTAGTAAACCTTCTCTGAACAGTTTCCAGTGTTTTAACAGTCTTCCGTGAATACAATGACCAGTACTTTACGTGCGGCTCCAGATGCAGTCTCATCAATGCTGTGAATAACTGAAGCATAACTCCATATTCTTGCATTTAATTTCCCTCACAATAAAACATATCATTCTATTAACTTTCCAGATTATTTACTGTACCTGCATATGAACCTTTAGTGATTCCTGCAATAGAACACCCCGATCTCTCTGTATCTCAGCTCTGCAATCTCTCCATTTAGATTTGCTGCTTTTTAAATGCCCAAAATGGGCAATTTCACACTTTTCCAATGTTGAACTACATTTGCCAGATCTTTGCCCGCTCACTTAACCTATTTATATCTGTTTTTAGGCTCTTTATGTCCTCTTAACAACTCACTCTCCAACAGTGTGTCATCAGCAACTTTAGCTACCATACCTTCGGTCAGTCCTGTCATCCAAATCATTCATGCAAATTGTAAAGATTTGGGGTCCCAGCACTGACCCTGTGGCACACCACTCGTGACATCCTGCCAGCCTGAAAGATATACACTTATTCCTATGCTGTACTTCCTATTAGTCAGCCATGCATTGAATAGATTAAGATTATTATGGGAAGAAAATAATGGAAACAGCAAATGCTTTGGAGTTCATAATTTAAAGAAAAATAACAACGTGGGAAAAGCAAAACTGCGTTTTACATCCTGGGCAATACAGAAAGTAATTTATAGTAGTAGCACATATTTCTTGGCAGAACATCAGCAAGTGCTGCATTCATCACATTGTGATGAAATCTGTGCCTTCAACAGACCTTAATTGGAAGGGAAATGGACTTAGAAAATTGATCACTTCCAGTTTCTAAGGAAACTAAGTCTGAAACAGAGATTAGAAACTGAACCTTCTGGGGTGTCTGGATTGAAACCATAGGTTCCATACAAGCTCAAACCGGAAGACACAAATAAACAGAATGTGCAGTCGATGTGGCCATTTCTGTTACTTGAAGGTAGTGTTGGTGGATCTACACCATTCATAATATACCAGATATTTTCAATCAGACTGTCCCAATGCGCAATGACACACTTCTGGAGCGGGTGCAATTTGAATATGGATTTTCTGGGCTCAGAGTTAGGGACACTACTACTGCATCACAAAAGTCCTTTAAAAGCTGTTTTTAGGTTATTGAGGTGATTGTAAACAGAGGCAGAAGAAGGATCACTGGGCTTGGAACGTTAGCTCTGTTTTGTCTCCAAATGGATGCTGCCAGACTTGCTGAATTTCTCCAATAGTTTAATTGTTTCAGAACTCCAGCACACACAATTCTTTGTTTGAATTTAGTAAAAGGGAACAAGTTGACAGTCACTATGCCAATTTAATGAACTATTAATTTGCGAGAACCCACATCCTTCGCAAAACTAAAACTGTACTAAAGTAATGAATACTAACTACTTCATGTCTGAGAATTATCCTTGAAAGTAAGTTGACTGTATTATGGATGTAGAAGTTTATAATTATTTCCAGCTGGTAAGTGGAAAGATAGAGAATGATTGGGATATAGAATGTGTGAAAAGACCTAGGTAAGCTCCCAATTTAAAATAAGAACAGGTGGGGCTACTCTGCAGAATGATGACAAAACAAAGTTTGAGAATCTGTATGGAAGTGTGTAATCATTTCAAAATGAAGAGTTATAACCCAGAGGAAACTAGTAATTATATATTAGACAGATGAATCAAATTTGAAGACGTAAATAGCCTTGGCTCCTCTATCCTGTGCAGGCCACTGGTCAGCATAACTCTATTACTAACCCTGATCCATCACAATCTCTTGTTTTAGCACAGGTAGTATCCTGCTGTTGAAGGCCCTCCTTAAATTTACTACAGCAGGTCTTCTTTGGCCAGCCTGGACTTCTTTTTCTATCAGCTGTTGTCCATTGTACTGCAAGTCTGGTGGGACATGCTGGAAGGTAACATGTACGCCCCACCAGTTTCCTGTCTTTGTCACACTCTTCCACAGGTACCTCTGACCAATTCTCATCAGCACTTCTTCGTTGGTGTTACTGACTTGCCATTGTGATGCCCAGGATGTTACGACTTTGCTGCTCTCTTCCTTGTCATACAAACATACATCATAAGAATTGCAGTTGGTATTATCATAGACACACAGTCACAGCTTCCTGGCAATCTTGATGGTGTTAAATGTCCAGACAGTGTACTGGAAGACTGATGCTACTTTGACAATTCTTGTACGGTTGTCAATTTCTTAGTATTGTCTTTCCTGTAGATGTTGCTTCCGAGGAAGGGTGAAGTGGTTGGTGTCCTCAATGGCTATTTCCTGATTGCGATGAGGGCCTTGTTGGGAGTTTTTTCACAGCTGACACTTAGATCAACTATGGCCCATCTACTCACAGGATTGGCAGTTTTGTCTTGGAGTACACAATTCTTCAGCCTATTCAACAAAATCTGAATTGTCAAGGACATCCTGGCTGACTGGAGTGGAGCAGTAATCATCAAATCGCAAAAGAAAACAGTTACTTCAGCAACTGCATCGACTGGAGGAGAATAACGCTGTTGTTGGCACCTGGCAAGATCTTCAGTATGGCCCTCCTTAAGAGAGTGACAGCAGAAGTAGATCATATACTTCATGAACAACAGGCAGGTTCTTGCAGTGGCAGATCATAGTGCTACCAGATCTTTAAGCTCAGGCACATTGTAGAGCAGAGCCTACAGTATTAGAAGCAATTTGCTTTCAACTTCATTGATCTCAGGACTTTCAAGAACATCCATCAGCAGTTACTCTGGTACAGCATTTCAGTAATTTAATATCTTCAAAGCCTTACAGGAAGTCCAGATGTAGTGTCAAAATCAGCATGGGCACCACTGAATCCTTCAGCATTATCACAGGAGCATAAGCTGCATACTGTCCCCATTTATTTTCTTTTTGTTTATTGATCTCATCATGAAGGTGGCGATGGTGGATGCAGACTTTGATATTCTATCTCAGCACCAGATTGACGGATCTAGATTTCGCAGGTCTTGAATATGTGAAATCCTCTAAACTTGCTCTCCTGCACAGAAAGTATCCAAGACGACACAAAGAATTAGGAAAATTTTGATGCAATTTGGATTATGAGTTATTCTTCAACTCAAAAATAAAGAACAGGTGGTGCATTTTCCACTGAGATCAGATAACTTATATGTAATGTTTGTTCAGTGTTAATATTATTTATGGGCAAGAAAAGTCAGCAGTGGCAGCTTGACTAATTATATCCAAATCACATTGTGTGTAGGAAATTTGACAACTTGAATAACCTTTCAAACATTCAAGCAGATATATTTAAACGCAAAATTATAGAACAAAAGATATATAGGAATTGTTACCCAGTTGGCTGGATGGCTGGTTTGCAGTGCAGAGTGACACCAACAGTGTGGATTCAATTCCTGAAGATGTTCTGAAGAAGGGTCACTGGACTCGAAATGTTAAATCTGCTTTCTCTCCACAGATGCTGCCAGACCTGTTGATTTTCTTCAGCAATTTCTATTCTGGTTTTAGTTCAATTCCTGTACTGGCTAAGGTTATTGCAAAGGCCCCACCCTTCACAACCTTGCCCCTTGCAGAAGGCACGGTGACCACCAGGTTAAACTCACCACAAATTATCTCTAATAAGACAGCAATCCTATGGGCCTCTGCGATTTTACCTTTCAAGCAACAAAGAACATTCGTATATGAAAACTATATATATTAAATGTAACATGTCAAAAAAAAAATAGCATTTTTGGCTGATATTCTTTATTAAAAAGTGCACATAATGATTTGTATAAAAAATACACATTTTATTCAGGTTAGAAGAGCTACATTACTTTCCACTTAATGTGGTGTTAAATAGCTCCATTCCAGATACTTGGTTTATGACTTCCTAAATACATCTTCATTGCATTCCATGATGAACTATTGTTTTGCCAAGATAATGACAGCCTGCTTTGACATTTAAGGCCATTGAACAGAATGTACTACACGGTCAAGTAAATTGGACATGTATCTGGGAACAATAGGTTATGTCAGACAATTAGACCACAGGTGAACACTGAAATCCATGCTTCACGTGGGCCCATTATGACAATCCAGGGAAAAGTCTTTTTTCAAGATCATCTTCAGATCAAATGATCTTTCTCTCTCTCAAAGCTACTGGGTGCAAGCGTTGGTTTATCGAAACTAGTCTCTGTTTCAATTTTGTGAATATGCCCGGAGAAGTTTTTTGTTCACTTGTGGGACCCAGGCATCAGTGACTGGGTCAGCATCTAATGCCCAGCTCTAGTTGCCCTTGAGAAGGCAGTGGTGAGTTGCCTTCTTAGTAAGGTTCTGGAATTTTTGTGGGGATTCTCACAATCTACTGCCATAAACAGTCCTGAAGAATAATTCACATCAAAGTTATGATGGAAGATTAGGAAATCCTGTTGAAAATTCTCTGTTGTTAAACTGATTGGACAGCTTAAAGGTTTACGGTTGAAATATTAGTATTTATCTGATGGAGCACGTGGTTTATGCTAGCAAAATATTGTGATTTGCAAACTGTATTAACTTTCGTATTGTTCACTATATAACCTAGTTTAAAATTAAAACTGGAAAAAAACCATTCATTCTAAAATTTAACAGAACGATTACTTTGGGGAAAAAAAAAGTTCAAATAAATGCGTAATGTATGTATTGAAATCACCAATCTCAGTGTTAGCCACAAATCAGATGTTTAATGCACATAATCTCATATACGTTGCTGTATTAAACTGCATAAGAAAATCAAAGAGGTTCTTGCCAGCCTAGAAAATATTTAAGATCACAGCATAGATGGATTCTTTTCAAGTATTTGTTTCTGAAAAGTTTATTTCCTCCAGGTTCCAAATCATGGCAGGTGAATTCCAGAAGGGGCTGTTCCACAACTGGAAATAATGTTGCATTAATTGCTTAATACAAGTGTCTGGTGTCTGGAAAAAGTATTAAAAATAAAGCATTTAATAAAGTTTCAAAGCCAGGGGAAAGCAATGGCCTAATGGTATTATCGCTGGACTGTTAATCCAGCAACCCAGATAACATTCTGGGGATCCGGTTTCAAATCCCACCATGGCAGATGGTGGAATTTAAATTCAATAAAAAATATCTGGAATTAAGAATCTAGCAATGACCATGAATCCATTGTTGACTGTCAGGAAAAATCCACCTGGTTCACTTGTGCCCTTTACGGAAGGAAACTGCCATCCTTAAATGGTCTGGCCTATAACAATTGACTCTCTAGGCAATTAGGGATGGGCAATAAATGCTGCCTAGCCAGCGACATCCTGATCCCATTAATGAATTTTAAAAAAAGCTGTGGATGCTGGAAATCTGAAAAAAAAACAACAGTGCTAGAGAAACTCAGCATGTCTGGCAGCATCTGTTAAGACAGAAACAGAATTAACGTTTCAAGTCCAATGTTTCAAAGAGCCACTGGAGTTAAAATTTTAACTCTGTTTCTCTCTCCATAGTTGCTGCTAGATTTGCTGAATTTTTCTAGCATTTAGTTTTTATTTTGAAAAGGTCATTTATCTTAGATACTAACTTTAAGAAAATACATTGATCTCCACTGGACAGAAATCATTTAGGATGAGGTATTCTGCCTGGAACACGTTGACTACTGGTTGAACACAATTGTCAGCAGATACTAGAGTCTGGAAATGATACAATTCTGGAAGTGTAACTGATGCACCATAAATTATGGGCCTGTTGAATTTAAGAGGTGCTAAATTTTATTTTTGTGTGGAAGGTTGAAATTAAAATTGATTAAGCTTATTTCTTGCTCACAGTATGCCATTATTACATGGTTGAGGGGACAGCATTGTCCTTTTATTTGGAACCTTTAGTCATAAACAGGATGAAAGTCTTCCATTTCCAGTGGTTGCAAAAGACCAAGTCAAATTACTTCAGCAAATATCAGCTCAGTTTCTGATCAGTGCAAGATCCTCAAACAATGCAAAATTCTGGCAGTCTCAGAATCCCACAAGAACTTGGTGCAGCAGTGAGGAATTGCAGAATGGTGCAGGAGATGTTTTTATGAGACTGAAGGCTAGATGTAAAGCACAGTGCTGCGCCAAGAGTATGGGGAGTTTTTCTCTATACAGCTGTATATAGCTACTCTGTGTCTGCTCAGCATGTTTGAAGCTGACACATTCAAGGCCAAAAATGGAACAAAACATTTTAGTCCTTTAGCACTGCAATCTGTTCTTAATGAATACAAACATTCATCAAAATGGATTACTTAACGATTCAATACATTAGCGATTTTTCTGTGGAATTACAACCTATCCTTTCAAGTCTGTGTCTCAAGTTCCATTCTGATACACTCATTTATGAATAAAATCCAACAACAAACTTTACAATACATAAGACAGGAGCAGTGTAGTTCAGCACATCAGCAAAAACATCCATGTATTCTAAAAGGAAAAGATTTGGATGTGTGTGTCACATTAAAGTCTGAAGCAATATGATCTTCTCATTGATGCAAAATCTATGTAGTACAACCATGAGATTTTCCCCACAGCGAGAAACCTGCCGCTCCATAGCTAATCGGAAATCTTCTTTCACACCCTTTGTAATTCCTCGGGTTACAGTGTGATGTCTGGAAAACAGGTCAAATAAGCAAATTATCCATCAGACTGCATCTTGTTGTTATTTGTAAATAACTTTTTATCCTCTGGTTGTACTCCATCATAAAGAAAATTCCAAGTTATTAAAATCTAACTTCCTAAATATTTGAATGTGTAATATATCCATAGAAATATCATTAATATTTGTGTAATATTTTAAATTCAATAAATTATTTGATCCAACTTAATTTTTCGGTTTAGCCAAATTCCAAGTTTGGTGATTAAAATATTTTCTGTACGAGTTACATATTGAAACATTAATTAGTGAGTAGTAAAGCACATTCAGAAGTATGAAGATTTATAACCAATTACATTTTCTAACTAAAGCACACAAATCTGAGAAAGTCAATTTTTTAAAGCTATGGTGGAAATTCATTGGAATGCATAACATGTAGCAATTACTGTTGCACTGATTTCATAGTAACTTACAAAAAAAAGTCAGACATTTCAAAAAAAAAGTACAGAAATAAATCTGATATCAAAGTCTGCATTTTGATAAATATATAATACTAAAATGATCACTGTATGGCAATGCTTAAATCATGGATTGTGTGAACAAAAAAGAAAAATAAAGACATTTAAAAAATCTTTAAAACCCATGGGTTAACATGGTGACAAACACAGCACATGACGAACAGGTCGTGTTGTACCTGTCAGCTGTCTGACTGCTGGGCTGCAGTTTGAACTCCTGCGGAAGAACCCCCAGTGGAGGGCTAGAATTCCTTGAAAACAGTAAACATCAACAGTACATTCAACACTCACACATATCACCAATAACACATAACTTTTACCTATTGCCAACTGGAAAGAATTGAACAGTGTACATAACTTTCACATTCATAATCTGATACTACATGCACAAACTAGATAGGTTTTTCATCAAAACATGCAACATAATAAAACAAAAGACAAATGCACACCATTTGAACCACTGATTAGAAAACAAAAGGTGTAAATAGGAACCAATGCTTTTACAGTAGAGAAAATGTGTACAGGATCTCATCATAACATCTGGTTATGAATAAGGCCAAGAATTCCTATCGTTCCTCTTATCGCCTCATGAGACCACGCGTCTCCTGTCAGGGGAGAAAAATGACTTCATCTCAAACTTTCACCAATACTCTTCTGTTGGCAATTCTTGGTTCATTTCCTATCTGCTGATCTTAATATACTTAGCACAGTTCATAAAAAATTTGGCAACTGAAAGTTTGATGAACTGCTAGACTTCACAGCTCATTTTCCTCAAGTTTACAGAAGCATAACTACTTTTCAGAAGTCAAACTAAGGAGATGTTGTAACAAGCCCACCTTTACACGGAATAGTCAAAGTGGAGCTATTTCTTTGTCCAAAGAAGTCATACAATTTTCATTCTCACATCAGAAATTGCCAAAATTATTTGAAAAATAGGGAAAAAGCAGCATGAATTTGCCCCTACAAGAACAAGACATTAGCAAGACAGTAAGATCTTCAATTTCAACTGCACAGTGCTACAAAACCTATAAATCCTTTATACTTCCTCTCATCCAGCCCCATGAATCTCAAGTTTTAATACCATATTAACTAACCAACAGAACACACTTTTTAAAGAAAACAAAACAATTTTAATTTAGAGCAATTCACCAATATATTAAATTATTAACCCAATAAAAGACCCTGATCACAGTGTGGCTTGAATATATGTCAGTTCAGAATCCAGACTGTTGGAGATGACATCACAATCCAGAGTCAGAACTGTTGAGTGGAGGAGAAACAATTTTAATGGATGAAAATGCTTCTAATTTATTTGGAACAGACCTAAAGATTGACTGGATAAACTGTAATTCAACACTGGGATGCATTTAAAGAAAACGTAGATAGATCAGATACAATAAAGGGATATATTCTCACTAGGGGAAATGTAAGGCAAATAAATCTGGAGCTCCCTGGATAACAAAAATGGTAATGAAGCAAAGAAAGGTGCATAAAACAGATGTCAACAGTATAACACAATCAGAATCAGTGTCTATATAGAAGCTTCATAAGGAAATTGAAAAAGCAAATAAAAGCAAAGAGAGAGTGAGTATCAGAAAAAACACAGTGAACATAGGAAAGGGAATCCAAAATACTTTCCACAGGCATGAAAGAATAAAAGGTTGGTACAATAAGTAGTTGCGCTGATGAGGGACCAAAAACAAGAATTACAGGAATGAGAACAGAAGATTTAAAAGAATACAAATGTTAACCCTTGTTCAAAAGGATGCAAAAATATGTCCAACAATTACCGGTTGGTTTAACTTCAGTGGTGGGTAAGGTTTTTTTTCACCAGAAATGATTCACGACATAATTAGGGCCAGCCATCACAGATTTGTTATGGGCAAAATGTTTAACTACCTTGTTTGAGTTTTTTGAAAAGGTGACAAAGAGTGATGAGTGTAATACAACTGGTTTTCTATACATGAACTTTCAAAAGGTATTTATTGAGTACTGCACAACAGATGTGAGCTCTACTCATGGATTAGAAGCATGATAATTATGTGGTTAGAAAAATGGATGAATGACAGAAAACAGACTGGTGGATAATGGTGCAGAGCTGGATGAACACAGCAGGCCAAGCAGCATCATAGGAGCAGAAAGGCTGACGTTTCGGGCCTAGACCCTTC